TGCAAGGGTCCTAAGGTCACACTCCACCCGTTGAGTGCTTAAGAGACGTTACTGAGAAATGAGGAATATACTATGGGATCTTGCTTTTATAAAGTGAGGTACGACAATACAATTTTTCAATCTTACGATCTAATCAGGTGAATCTCTCATTACTTCATTGTTTGTACTATAAAAACCAGCACAAACGGTAACGCGACTTGCTGACGAAGCATTACTAGAAATACATTTTTTCGCTCGTTTATGTATAGTCCACACTTCTTGCCAAGGTTTCCCCTAGTAAAGACAAATCAAGTTTTCTCAATGATTAGAGGATTTTAAAGAAGTGGAGAGTATTAATACGTTTTTTACTCAATCATTATCAATGCTGCAATGGTATATTCACCTAGCTACTATCCAGACTGATCCCGTAAAAAGCGCTAACAACTACGATTTTTTTCTCTTTATGCATTTCACTGATGATATTCTTCACGAATATAATTTAAATGGATAGGGATAATATGAAAAAGCATAAAATAAAGTGGAAATTATGATTTAGGGAAGAACTGAATTACACTGCTAAATAAGAAATTCTAACAATGAGCATTGTTGGTATCAATTTTGATGCACTTTCTCTGTCATTTACGAGACTCAAGAAAAATCCTTTTTTCTCGCTATGGTAGAATAGCTTTCAGAAGGCCGATACTTAGAATTATCGCCTTATGATTGACGTTCCCATGCACTTTTGAGGATAGGCCACATTACACATTGCACAAGATCGGCAACGCCGTGGTACTTGTCAATACTTCCTAGATTCGTGATTAAGAGTTACCCTAGCAATTTTAGAAAGTCATAAGTCAAGGTGACTCATGTTCTTTTTAGCCAATTCAAGGTCCATGCGTTCGCACAAAGATACTTCAGATCGCTATAGTAATTACTGAACTGCAAACAGAGACCAATTCAAGTCGTTCGCGCAAGTAATGGGCTTCGTTCCGAATTAGTTGTCCCTCCCGCCACTCCTTTCAGTCATATCCGCTCTACGAGCGCATTGTGTACATCACAGCGTTGTCACCTCAGTTCATCCGTCGTCCTTGTTTGCAATACGTACGTACGGGCCTCATTTGCTCACCTGTTTTTAGCGCATTTGAGGTTTGCAAATATCGGCCTTTGTGGTTACGGTTTTTCTTGCGAACACATCCGTTGATTCCCAAGAAGCGTGAGCTCTTCTTCATCCCCGGTGTCTTTTTCGAGTATACGTGTTCCTCTCCGCGTCCACTACTTCATATATACATATATGTCATGAGTACTGCGGATACATGAACATAACAACATCTATCATGAGCAAATTTGTACCTTCTTTTGTGAAAGTGCTGCTTTGAAGTGCCTACAATCAATTTGTATCCTACAGAACATGTACTTTGTGCTCTGAAGCCTCACAACTTATTGTTTAGAAGTTTAGAAGAGACGAAGTAATTTTGTAGAAACTTTGGTTTCAACTAATATGGGCAAGCTTTTGCCTACGAAGTGAGATAG